TGACCTGTGCAGCAGCACTCAGCTAGCAACTGGGAGGCAGTGCAGGGCTACATGAGGGGGCGGGGCAGGGCAGGCACTGGGGCAGGGCTAGTGCTGGGGATCTCTGGGGGTGGGGGGCTCTAAGAGGCAGAGGGCTGGCATGGGGGGGCTCTGGTGGCAAAGCTAATACTGGGGATTACTGGGGGTGGGGCTATTACTGGGGAGCTGTAAGGAGTGGGGGGCTCTAAGAGGCAGGAGGATAACACTGGGGTGCACCAGGGTGTCCAGGGCGGGGCTAGTAGTGGGGGGACTGAGGGCAGGGCTGGCACTGGGGGGGCTCTGGGGATGGGGCTAATATTGGGGGCTGGGGGAGGCTCTGGAGGAATTTGGTGCAATGGGGCTCTGGAAACAGGAGGCTGGCACGGGGAGGTCTGGTGGTGAGAGCTCTAAGGGGCAGGAGACTGGCACTGAGGCATTAGGTATGAGGGACTAGCACTTCAGGGCTCTAAGGGAAGGAGGCTGTTACTGAGGGGATTGGGTGCAGAGGACGGGTCAGTGGCTGGTGCTGAGGGGTAGTGAAGAGGCAGGGTAACTAGGGGTTAGGGCTGGCACTGGGGGTGCTCTGGGGTCTGGGTTTTTGGTAGACCAGCAACATTTTATTTGCATATTCCTTATTGCATAATGAATGTGCAGATACAATGTTTCCGGGCCGCCAACAGTTTGTGAATGGGTTTGCTGATCCACAGTATAAAAAAAGGTTGGGAACCACTGCTCTACAGGGCCACGTCATTGGACTGCAGAATAGCCAGTCCCTCTTTCAGCCTATGGGCCAGAATATTAGTTTCTGCCTTCTAATCACTGAGGATACCACCACTCCCCCTATCACTCATGCCTATAACTTGCTTGTGTATCTTTGTCTTGCACCTTTCTCTAGGTCCTCAAACCCAGGCTAAAATTTCTACATTTAGGGTGTAAAAACTCCAAATAAATAGTAACTGTGTAACCTATTCAAATTAAGTAGGTTACATGGTTCAACAAGACTGGCAAGCTGCTGGCCCTATGGACTCCCAGTACTGCAGGCTACCGACGTTGCCAGCCCCATGAGCTGCCACCATCTCTGCAGTAGCTTAACTGTTAACTGGAACCTATCGGCATCAGTTTAAGTTAACTGGTTAAACTTTTACATCCCTATTGTGAATTACATCTCTAAGAGATGAATATTCATATCTATTCACACAGCAAAAACTCTCCCAGCATCTCACATCTTGACTACTGTAACATTCTTTTCTCTGGCCTTGACAAATGCAGATTTACCCCACTTCTATCTATTCGGCAGTATTCTGAATGGATATCTTTCCTAGTCCATCACTTTGACCATGGCACCCTCTCATTGAATCCCTCCATTCATTTCCCATTGTCTATTGCATCAGACTGCTTGTATTCAATTTCAGAGCACTTCACAGTTAATCCCCACCTACATATGACCTCTCACCATTGAACTGTCAATGCTTGCCTCCAATTGGTTATGATGCCAGTCTCCATCACTCACTCATATTACATTTTCAAATAAACATTTTCTCTCATGCAGCTCCACATTCTTGGGAGAAACTTCTTGTAAATGCCCACACACTTGCCTTATTTCCATGTTCAAATTCATCTTCAAAACTCTCCTTTTCCATGATGCCTACAGCTTAAAAACTGCTAGACTCCTGGTGGGCTATCTATATCGGTGTACATTGTCTTTTGTTATACTTACATTGTAAGTCCCTTAGGGCTAGGCTAACTGGTTATACATATTGTTTAATTGGTTAATCGATTTAAAGGGAGGTGAGCAGGGGGAGGGGCACTCCAGGCTGAAATGCACTACCTAGCCAACGCAGTCCCTGCCTGCAGTGAGCCAGGGTGCCTCACAGGTAGGGGCTGCTCTGGCATCTTAATCAGAGTAGCTCCTGCCTACAGGGCATCCTGCCTGGGGCAGGTGGGAAGCTGGTCCAGCCCCACCAGTTAACCTTAACCTCTAAGCCTCACCATTAAGGTTAAACCTTCACATCCCTACTAGGGGCAGCGATGATCTTCTGTTTGTACAGTGACCACCATAATGACATCCTGGTCTACGACTAGAGCTTCTAGGTACTATAGTAATACTAATAATGATTATAATGTAAGGATTTTAACTATTTAAGGGTTGCCCAAGTAGACTCTCCCCCAGACTCTCTAACCCCCAATTCTCTACTCCACACCACCATTCTGTTCTAGTCAGGATCTTATACCAAACCTATCACTATGGTGTCTGAGCGCCTTCCAGTAGTCCAGGGGAATCTATGTGACTAGTATGTATGGTTTGTTCTCTCTTCTGTCCCTCATAGCAGAATTGTTTCTGCAGGTTTTAGGTTGTTTAATATGTACACACGTACACTTGGTAAGACTTGTTCTTGTCCTTAGTTCCTGAGAGAGTTCCTCTCATACTCTGGGGTGCTTTTTGATAAAACTTTATCTCCTGAACAGGTCGACTTTGCTGTTGTAACAGACAGTTCCATGTTGTCTGATAAGTAGAGTTGTTGATCACAGTCTTCATCCTGGAACTGCACTTAGAAATTAAGGACTGATACCATGAATTTGGCTTTGCATTCTGTGGGGGTCTAATGTAGAAAGTGGCAGACAGATTTGATAACCTCCATCTTGCTCAGGTTCCATTTCAGCTAACTCTTCTTCTCTCTTGATTGTGGTGTACATGGTGAGAGAGAAGTAGAGCTGTGTATTGTTGGCTTTTAAGTCCTTGTTTTCTTACTTGTTCATCTAGTACAGGGGTGGACAATAATTTTTGATGGAGGAGACAATCTAAGATTTTGGAAATTGGACAAGGGCTGCACTCTTCCACGGTATTAATGGAGGAGGTACGGGGTTTGGGATGGAGGCTGGGGGCAGAAGGGAGCTTCGGGTAAAGGATTAGGGTACAGGAGGGAGTGCGGAGTCTGGGAGGAAATTTGGGTGAAGGAGGCACTAGTGACCTGGGGCATTGGACTGAGGTGCACGTGTTTGGGTTATGTGGAGTAAGGGAGCAGGAGTGGGGGGCAAAGAATTGGAGAGGGTTTGGGGAGGGAGGGGCTGAAGTGCCAGAGGCAGACTGTGGCTAGGAGACTTACCTGGGTGACTCCCAGCTAGCTGCCCAGCACATTTCTGAGGCAGCCTCCGTGCCTGCCCTGCCCCTGCACATGCTACAGCCATGTGTGTGTGAATAACTATGAGCTGGAGGGGGGAGAGTGTAGTGCTTCGTGTGCTGCCTGTTTGAAGAACAGGAAGCTCCCATTGGCCATAACTGACCAATGGGATTGTGGTGGGGACAGCTCATGAAGCCTTTCCCCCTCCCATCCAGGTTCACAGTTGTGAAGGAGAATGGCCTTGCAGCTGCCATTTTCTGAGTGGGGTGTGGCAAGCAGGGAACCTGCCTGGGGCTCCCCCCTGTGTTTGCAGGCCAGATCCGATGGCTTGGTAGGCCAGATTCAGCCCCAGCCCTGATCCAATAGCTACATAGAGATGATAAAAAGGACTAGAAAGCAAATTATGCTTTTGTTTAAAGCCTGCATGGAACCAAACATCTTCATTAGCAAAGATTGCGGAGACTCTCTTTTTTGTGTCCACTCCACTTATGTCTCCCTCACTCCCCCTCCTCCCCATTATATCTCAAATTGATCTAGTTGAATATATGCTCTGCCTTTTTAAAGGCATGAATTGCACACCTACTCTTAAAATATGGATTTGTTAAAGGTTCTTTGGTGGGTTGTATTATTTTTCTCATAGGAAAATGGATGGCATTCACCTTTGTCTGTATGCAACTAATCAGCACACAATAAAGTTACACAATCACTGTCATTCTTGTTTTCAGACACCAAATTCAAC